TTTGGTTTTTTTTTCTCTTCTTTGTCACTTTTGTTCCTGCTTACGCATTTATTCATGTATCCCTTTCGTCCAGCATTTTTGACAGGCTGTCCTCTTAGATACCCTCACCCCTTACTTTTACCTTCTGCAACTTTACCTTCTCATCTGCTGAACGGGCAGCGCATGTATATAGTATAGTCTTTTACTTCTTCTGGCCAACCTTCTTCCATCCAATCAGGGGGTCCGGTTGTACAAATGGATGGATTTGAATGTTTCGTGATTTCGGATGTCTGTGCTGGATCTAGGGTTGCAATTCATCAATCTCAAACTGATTCCACATATTTTGAACTCTGCAAGGACAGCTATCGGGTAGGGCTCAAAGTCAATTGATCATTTCTATTCAGTGTCGCGTACTATGTACGTCAACTACGGAACACTCAGGGACAATGTCGGTCCTAATTTCGACATCATGGACCCAAGCTCCCGCAAACCCAATTGACAATGCACGTCATGACACGTATTAGAATCTTAGACAGCCACTTGTCAGGAACAACAATGCGACGAAACCAAAGAAGAAGTGTTTTAGATTGAAAGCAGAGCATCGGACACGTGCATAGCTATGGTTTGGGCAGGCGGTGTCCCATGTACCCCTGTAATTTTTAAGGTACGGTAATACAAGTATACAGCACCCAAAAGGGAAAGACACTAGGAGAGAAGAATGAGGCATCAATCCGAAAGCGAAAGACAAAAAGAAACAAGAGGCAAAAAAGATAGTGTGCCAATAATGCCCGGTTAGCTGCATTTCTTTACTGTACAAGTACATACTCTTGAATACGCCGGTGGACACGCCGTTAAGAGTGGAGTGAAAGCAACGCCCGTGGATTTTCCTCCCTCATCACTCTCCCCCCTGCTCTCTCTTCTCTTTCTCTTTCTTGTTCTTTTTTCAATAATTCCCCTCGCTGGTCAGGCAATAATTCGTTTCCGGCTTATCATGTAGCCGACTTTCTCTCTTTTCCTGTTCTGGCATACATTACTATCTGCATTTCGACCTGACGACAGGGATCGACCGCCTTTACCGGCTGACTGACGTCTACGCTGAAAGGGGGAGCAAAGAAAACCACCAGCAAGTGAGAATACTTCCAGAAGACAAGCTGAAGACACTGTGAACGAAAGTGGAAGAAAATAATACATCGGACGACACAGCCAACATTCCTCAGTCTGCCCTGTTGTTGGTTCATCCAGCCAGGGTGGCCGTGTCGCGTCCCCGATCAGTCCTACCTCGGAATACATACTCTCTTGCAGCAAAGCGACACATACCACACATTCCATTCTGATAAACAGACACTTCTTGCGACACGATAATACCCATGTCCATGCGAAACCTCTTCTCCGGGTCGACTTCCTCTGCGACCGCCAAAACACCCCCTCCTCCGCCTCCTCCTATTCCCACCTCCTCTGCCAATACCACCACCATCGCTGTTCCTGCAATAACTCCGACTGCCAACACTTTCACTTCGCCGGGTTCCTCGCCGTCCACGCCCGCCGTATCAGTATACTCTCCAGACGATCCATTTCCTCGCCGCATAAAGTCCAAATCATCCCTGCGCAGTATCCGGAGTCTCGGGAGCAGTCATCACGACGACGACGAACAACAACAGCAACAACCCTGGGAGAGTCCCGACCAGATCCCTGCCACTCTTGATAAGACGCTCGTCCGCCCGTCCTTTCTCCGACATTTATCCCCGGGATTGGCTGCGCGTGTGAAACAGTTGGACGGGAGTAACAAATCGGCAGGCTCGTCTCGCAACAACCCTAGCAACATCGGTCGGATTCCTCAGCAGCACATTAAGGAGCTGGACAGTCTACACCAGAACTTGTCGGTTAGGATTGAGAGAAGGGGTCGAGCGTGGCCTGGTGCGCCTTCTAACCAGAACATTCAAAATAATCATAATCATAATAAGGGGAAGAAAAGTGTGTCCAGTTTAGGTGATTCGTTGATGGAAGACCCTGTGCACGAGCCAGAATCGACGGAAGCCGTATTTTCAGAACCGGCAGAATCGCTCCCACCACCGAGCCCTCGTCTTCCGGTCCCAGAACCCGAACCATTAGACGAAACGCCTTCGCCAGTTGCTGACGAGGCTGAACACGACCCCCCTGCGGCCATGGCTGTGGCTGAGCCTCTTCCGGAACCTGTGGCCCCAGAACCAGAAGCAAATGGTTCTAACAAGGAGGAACAGACTGATTTCGAAAAGTACATCCAGAGCACTAGCGAAAATGAGACGAAACCTGCCCCTCGGGCTCCTTACAAACACTCCCCCACCCCATCGTCGAGCGCCTCGTCGAATACGCAGTCATACTTCAACCCCCATGGCCTTCATCGCTCGGAATCGATCTACTCGTTTTCGCGAGCCTCCTTTAGCAACCAACTTTCCCAACTTACTTCGATTAGTCTGCCTCAACCGTCGACCCTCGAGACTACTATCATGCAAATACCCAATGCCCCCAAGGCCGTCCGGGCTTTGACGGGAGCATCGGAGCAGATTCAGATTTGGATCAGAAAGGCGTCTGACGTACTGAGTGGCATGGATGCCGAGGATGACGTGGAGTGGGCGGCTGCTGGCGGCCGAGAGGGATTGGATGGCGTGGATAATGCCATTAAGCGGTTTGAGGGCTTGGTGAAAATCTACGTCAAGGCTATTGAAGAGGTGCAGTTACGGGAAGATATCAGCGACGTCGACCCACAGGGTCTGAAGACCATCGTCACGCAAATGGACACCATCTTGCAGAGCTGGGCACAGATCAAGACGCGACTCAAGGGCGTCAAGGAACAGGTCGAGCTGGCGATGGAATGGGAGGAACTGTGGGCTACCGTGCTGGGTGACGTGGGCATGGAGGTTGAGAACCTAAGCCGACTGATCTTTGAAATGGAGGAGAAGCGACACTGGACCATGTCGGGGGCTGATCAGGAGTCTCACGGTGGACTCGATATAAATGAACTAGAGACTATTGTGGAGGAAACACCGTCCGGCGGTAACATGGCAACCAACAAACGGTTCAGCACGGGTCCGATCTACGCAGGGCCTCCGACCTTGGATACGCCTCTTATCCAGACGCCCCAGGATGACACCAACCATTCCAACCTGATGGCTCTTTTTGCACGAATGCAACCGCTGCGCGCGTCTCTGGACTTCCTGCCCATGCGGATGTCCATGTTCCAGTCACGGGCAGAAAGGATCTTCCCTAGTGCTTGCGAGGAGTTGGAGGAACGGCGCAACCAGTTGGAGAACAGCTATAAAGTGCTAGAGGCAGACGCGGAAGCCGTGCGGAAAGAGCTCAGCGAAGATCGATGGATCCTGGTGTTCCGCAATGCCGGTGGCCAGGCGCAGAAGATGTTCGAGTCTGTTGAACGAAGTATCGCCAAACTCCAGGAGGGCTTGGAGGCAGGCGCGCAAACGAACAACCCAGCTGGGTTGACGAAACGGATCGAGAACTACGAGGCTAAAAAGCTACACTACGTATCGGCAATCGAGCGTGTCACTACTATCGTGCAAAAGGGTGTCAGCGATCGACTTACAGTGAACGGCGAGACGTTGAGGCTGTTGTCTGATATGAAAGCGAGGACTGATGCGCTGAAAGCAGGCATCAAGGTTATGGATGCAACGTTGGAGGACATCAACTTCGTCAAGACGCAGCAACTGCGTGACTCCATCTCGAGTATTGTCACCATGGATAGCCCGGCCACCAACAGTATTCCTGATACCACGCCGGGTAGCTCTCCTGCATCGTCTGTCATTCTTTCCGGAAGTGCTACTACTCCCATGGGCTCATCCAGCCGTCGTGGTAGCTCAGTAGGCAGCGTGGCCCGGTCAACCATGTCCAAGGTCCGACGAATGTCCGGTCTTCCCCAGCCCGCACCCACTACGACGGGTAAGAAAACGGCTATCCCCAAGCCTTCGCTTGCGGCGCCCCTGCCTAATTTCGCTGCTACGCCTACTCCTGCGTCGCGCAGGCAATCGCTCCGTCCGACTCCATCACCGTTGAACAACCGTCCGCGCTGGACCAGCAGTACCAACACCAAGGATTTGGACATCGGCCATACCCACAAGCCCTTCTCTAGCGTCAACCCTGCCAATCGCAAATCCTCCGCTCCTCCAGGCCGCATCTCGCGACCTTCTTCAACAATCCCATTCAGTCCTTCTCGTCGGGACTTCTCCGCATCCCCTGCACCGCCTCGCTCCGTGAGCCGCTTCTCTTCCAGATTCTCGCGCAGTCCCGGACGCTCTGAATCTCCCACCCCACGCTCCATCCTTGATCCACCGCCATACAGCAAACTCCGGAAATCCTCTGGCCAATCGGAGGCCGAGTATGTTAACGCCCCTCGCAACAGGCAGAGCTTTGCCGGCTCGTTCGCGCGGAGTGTCTCGCGCGACCCTGGCGTAGCGAGGCTTAGCAGCCCGACGAAGGGCGATCGACCTGGTACATCGCTTGGTCATTCAGGGAACCATCGCATCAGCTTGCTTCCGCTGCCTAAACCGAGTGGGCGTGATAGTGCTGCGGGGATGCGGAGTAGACAGGAGCAACGTCCGCGGTGGCGGTGACCTTACCTTCATCTTGGTCGTTTGGTCACCGCGGTTTGTCATGCCGTGGTTTTTGAACTTGTACTATCCCCTTTTGACTCTTTATATGTTATGCATTTTGCATGTGATAGTCCGGTGTTTGTTTATTGTTATTGTTTGTATTGTTGAGGGACAGAGACCGGTTCACTTGATTCCCCATTTGCATTGTTGGTTAGCGTTGATTGATATTGATATTCATATTGATACATTGTATTCTACTGGGACTGTCTTCAATATATTGGTTATTCAGTTTAGCCAAAGAACTGCTATTTACAAACAAAAGTTGACCGGACTAAACCAGCTCCCGCCCAATAATCAACGCATCAACCAGTTCCTCGCTATTAGCGAGTCTTGCACAACCGGGAACTCGGCCGATGATCTTGAAGCCAAGTTTCTCCCAGATCTTGATAGAGGCCGTGTTATTTTCGAAGACCAGGTTGAAGACGGAGTATTTGTAGCCCTACCTCTGTTAGTCCCCCGTGTATTTGGGAAATGGTAGATATGAGAGTGGACATACCAATTTCGGCGCATACTCTAGGTATGTTTCGCCCATGACAATCCCAACACCCTTATTCCTAGCTGCGTTGGTCGTCAGGAATCCCGCGTTACACACATGCGAACAACGTCCTATCACCAACCCATTAGCTTTTCTCTCTTCCACCGCCACTCAATCACAAGACCAGGGGATAAAAGCATACCAGGATAATTCGGCTTAACATAAAACGTCCCCAAACACTCCCTCTCCCAATCCCTCCCCTCCCTCAACCCACTTCCCTCCTTATCCTCACCCAACACCGCAACAACAGCAAACGTCCCAAACCAATACCCCGCAAATTTCTCCAACTCCAAGGGCTCTTCCATCGGATACGTCGCCCCGCGCTCGATCTCCGCTGAGAATTCGGCGTAGAGGTACTTTATTAGATCGGCGGGGAGGGATTCGGGGCCGTTTGTGACGGGGTAGAGGGTTACGGGGGCGTTGGAGGCTTTGGGGAGGGTTGTTTGGCGGGGTGTTAGGAGGGGGGCTTGTTTTTGGGCTGAGGGGGGTGGGGGAATATGGTTTTGGGGGTCTTCGAGGAGGGCGGGCATGATTGTCGTTTTTGTTTTTTTTTTTTTTTTTTTTCGATTGGGATTGGATTGGATTGAGAAATTTGGGAGGTGGTTTGGATTGGGATAGAAATTGGGGAGGAAATGTTCTGGTTTATATTTGCGATCCGGGGATACTCCGAGGGGTTATCGCCTTAACTAGTTATCTTATCGGGGTTAGTCAGGATGTACCTCGTAGGGCGTGGTTTAGGTTAGTTTAGGTTGGTTGAGTGGGGAATGGAAGGTGTGGAATTTGGGAGAATTGCTTATCTTGCATACTAGTAGTATGTAGGTGTGGTTTGCTTCAGTTGTTCTGTCCATCGTGGTGTACAAATATGCACATGGTGCAGTGAATACATGTTCAAGTGCTGTACAAATGTATGCGGGGAAGTAGTCTACATCCGACAACGTCTTCCATCCATCAAAACACCACCATGCCTCCTCAACAACAAGACAAAACATGCCCACCACCACCACCACCACCACCCCCCTCAAACCCATCCACAAAAATCTCCCCCTACGTCCAAAACCTCCGCTCCACGCCACCCTCCTACCTTTCCCAACCCCCAAAACCAGTCGACCATTCTGTCCCCGCGCCAACAGGCACATACTTCTTCTACGGCACGTTATCTGACCCATCCCTTCTCGCTGAGATCCTGAGTTTGGGTGAAGAACCGGTCTTCAGGCCTGCTTTTGCCAGGGGGTTTGAGTGTATGCTGTGGGGGCAGTATCCGGCGTTGGTCTCATCTGGGTCTAGATCTGATTCGGAGTCTAGTTCAGGTTCAGGGTCAAATTCAGGAAGTGTTGTCGAAGGCGCAGCCTATCACGTCCAATCCGTACAACACGCAGAGCGTCTTGTGGAGTATGAGACGGGGAGTTATCGCGCTGAGGCGTGTGTTATCAGGTATGCGGATGGGGAGGAGCCGAGGGAGGAGCGTGGGTTTGTTTTTGTGTTTGTAGGAGATAGGAGGGAGATTAGCGAGGGGAGGTTCGATTTGAGGGTTTGGTTGCGGAGGATGGGGAGGGGTGGTGCGGTGGAGAGGTTGGATGAGAGGAGGGTTGGTGATGATGGTGGGACTGGGTGATTCGAGCTAGTGTCTTTTTGGCAGTTGTGGGAAGGTGGATTTGCGTTTGATTATTAGCTACATGCCCCGTACGCCGTGCTCCATAATGTTTACACTGTTCTTACGAAATATTGAATGATCCTATGAAGAGGCTGTAGACTGATAGTAATGTGTTTAAACGTATGGGTATCATTGAACAAAATTATGGCACGGAAAAAGGACCATACTTCTCGAGCAGGTCCCAACAGATCATTGCGCATGCCGATTAAAGAAAAGCACCACACCTCGAATCCTCATGCACCTTATAACACCCCAACCCACACATCCGCACATGACAATTCCGACACCGTATCTTCCCCCAATACCCACATATACAGCAAAAGAACCGCGGCGCCTTTTTCGTCACCGGCGGTCCAGCGCGCGCAGCGTTATAACTTAGCGGTGGTTCGGATACAAGTGCCTGCATGATGCGTTCTGAGGGGACGGGGGGGATACGTGAGCGGAGGAGGGGGTCGTTGTCATATTCGGAGGGGATAAGGCGTTGTTTTTTCGCGGGAGGTTCTGTTTCTGTATCTGCGGTAGGTCCGGCGGGTGTTTCTGGTTGCTGAGGCTGTTGTTGCTGTTGTGCAGCGGCGGAGGATTGTTTTCGTTGCTTTGCTGTAGAATCTGTCTTTGGCGTTGCCATAGGCGTTGAACTCCTTCGCGCAGAGGGTTTCGTCATTTTGCTGCTGATACTAAGACGCGGAGGCGCGTTGCTAGCAGTCGTCTGCGCGGTCTGCGATAAATGCGCCTCTTCATCATCGAGATGATTCCGGAACGTCTTTTGCGACTGAAGGATACGTCGCGTATTCGTCGTCGTTTTCCCTCTCGTTCCTGTCCACTGTCAGTCGGAATTGAAAATATTTCAACGCTCCGCGATAACATACCCCTCCCCGCCGGCTCTTTCTGCTTCACCGGAACCGCAATCTGCACATCCCGATGATTCTCACGATCCAACTCCGCCAAATGTCTTATAATCGCATTATTCTCCCTCGACGAGAGATCGCCACGACCGCCTGGATCCCGGATTCCTCGTTTTCTGCCGATCGCAGGCGTGATGGCTGCTTTTGCTGGGTCGAAGCCTCTATCGGGTACGTAGGTCCATCCTGGAGTTATGTGGGATGTTGAGTTGGGGAGGAGTTCTATGTGGTACATTGCGATTTCGTGTGGTGTTGGACGTGTAGAGTTGTTGGTCGTCTGAAAAGGCGTTGGGATGATGGACAGGAACCGCGAAAAAAATGGCTTAGTAAGCAATCCGCGTCATGTACTGTTTGTGCTGTTTGCAACCCGGGGAAATGACGCAGTTGCCGGAGCTTGAGGGAGCTTTTCTACGTGCTGCATGGAGCTGGATTGGACGGATTAGAGATGTCAATTCAATCAAATACGTTGACATTAAACTGGTTATCAAACAGGAATAGCACCGCTTAACAATTCGCGAATATAGACAGACAGAGTAGCGCGTTGATTGAGTCTCAGTGAGCTCAATTAACAGGAGAAAAAAGAAAACCGGAACGGAAAACAATAAAAACAATAAAATAGAATTAAAGTCGAATAGTTATATAATCACTTCTTCTGTAGTCCGTCCACCTTGGTTTCGAGCTCCACAACGTAGGACTGGAGCTGTTGCGTGGCCAATTGGAGTGCCTGTGTTTCAAAGCGCGGGAGCATTGATTAGTCTTGCTTGCACTCCGACAAGGGGGTTTGGGTGATGTTTGGTGTGAAAAGAGATGGGAAATAAAAGCCGTCTGCAGCCCAGAAGACTGGGCATCCTCTCCCGAGATAGTAATGACAGCGAGAAAGCACTCGCCCGAAAGACGTCCGCAAGGAAAAGGGGAGAACACACATAGATATCCTCCGACAGCATCTCATTAGCCGTCCGATACTCTTGCAAGATGTAATAATAAACAAGCGTTCCAGCAGTCACAGACCCAGCCAGGAAGCCCAGCACCCTGCACAACCGTTAGAACATACGAGTAACCAATGAAGTAAACCAAAGTTAGAGCATAGAATAGAAAAGCTTACCCTCCGCGGAAAGCTCCAACAGGCTTTTTAGCCGGCAGCGTCGAGCCCGCCTCCTTAAGAGCCGGGGAGGTCGAGAAGTACCGCGCTGGAGCTGGCACAGACACGGGCTTTGCTGCGGAGCGCAGGAGTGAAAGGATTGGTGTGCGAGGGAGCATGTTGAAACTGGACATAGATAATCAGGATTTGAATATAAATAAATAGAAGGGAATGTTTCCCGAAGGAACTTATGAGTTGAGAGGTTGAAGTGAAGTCGAGGAGCATGTAGTTCTCTTGGACGGGAGTGACGTTGGATGATTTCCGAGCGCTCGGTTGGCCGGGTAAATCCTGGGCCATCCATGGGTCTTTTATCCGCCTGTCAGACCACGACAGCATAGCATGTGATACATCTTTTTTATTGGAAGCCAAGTATGTACAACATAAGCAATATAATTGAGAAATTCTATATACTTTGCGCTAAAGAATAGGCACGGAAGAAGAGATCTTGGTTGCAACGCCTGAACGCCATAGTTAAGCACATGCAGCCAAAACTAACTACATCCCTCAAACTTTCAGGCTGGAATACCTCTCTAATTCGCCATAGTACTCTCATTAAACAAATCCGCCAGCAGATCATCGCGACAAACATCCAGATCCGGATTGCTCATAGTATAAGTACTCTCAAACGCATGGATGCTGAGTCGATCAAAGAAAGGTCGCAGCACACGCTCTACAATCTCATCCTTTGCTGTCTCCCGGATCCAGTCCGATGTCAGCCAGGGTTGTCGCTTTGAATTGTTGAACTCAATAGCGTCCACAGGCGAGGTTGGGGATGATCCGCTTTGGACACCCAGGCTCTGGGAAACTTCGTCGGCGAGAGCGATGGGTTCCCAGCGATCCGGGGGATAGACCGCGTCGATTGTGTCGGTTACGAACAGCCATTCCAGTAGTTGGAAATCATCGGGGGCCAGGACCAGCATCGTGTCCAGGACCTTGCAGGCCTGTAGCATCGAGTAGGGGTTGTAAAGCTCTTGGTTCTGTCCCGCTGGTACTGCAGAAAGGGCCTCTTGAAGTTCAGTGTTGATCAACGGCCAAAATGGAATCAATGTTGTAGTCGACGTCTTGAGCGCTAACGCGCGGAGTACCATGAATATCTCTGCCCTCGTCGCAGAAGAAGGTGACGACGAGCTAGTAGCCGCGAGAAGATCCTCCAGTTTGCGAAGAAGTCCAGGTAGCTCACCAGCGAAGTAGTCGTCATTAGCGCACAAAATGAGCAAAGCAATCCTGCGAAGGTTCAACTGCGCTTTCCTGTCAGCTTCCAGTCGAGCAGCTGATGCTCCCACGCCGAACATGAGGCCCGCTGTGCTGGGCGGAGGAAGACGAGCCAGTAGCTCAGACAGTCGATCCTTGTCCGCAATCACCCACTGCCGCAGAAGATTCATCCAACCATCTTTCACCAAGTCTATCTGGGAACTGAAGAATCGATGGTCGTTAAAGGCATCTGCTATGTCCTTCTTCCATGACTTGGCTGCAGCTGGAACCTTGGCGATATGTTGAAGCAGCACCAATACACTGCGATTCACATTATTAGGGAAAAGCCGTGAACGCAATATTGGACCGATGACATTGCTGGATATGCCTGTCGTAGCCGTGCTGATCCGATCTGAGTCACCCAGCGTTGTTGTAAACGCGGGCATTGAAATGGCGAGGATACTTAACATGTCATCCGGTCCGACATTCGTGGATGAAATACCATCGTAATCCCGCGATATCTTCCTGGCATGACCTGAATCGGTCGAGAATGGCTTGCTCGTGAACACTGCTGTAAGAAGGCGCAGCAAGACGTCCTGTCGAATGTGTTAGTAGTCTTGAAATGACACCATGCAAGTGAAGACATACCCCGAGCTCCTTTCTCATCCTCCGGTTGTCGCCAAAGTTCGTGTTCTCCAGTTTCGTCCCAAGAATAGCCGCGAACTCAACTAAGCGTGGAAGGATTTGCCTGTGAGGGAATGGGTTGCTGAGAACATCCCGCAAAAAGGTGGTGCAATCTGCCCAAATCTCATCCAGTACATCGTCGTCAAGCGACCTGGCGTAAGTGACCATAAATGCCGCAAGATCATTTTCCGTAATATTGGACGCCAATGCAGATTTACGACTCGGGTCCAGTGCATGAGGATTGGTCCGTGTATAGATAGCATTAAAGATGGCCGGGATGGCAATCTTTGGCCGCGAACCGTCCAACGTGTGAAGCAAATCGAAGATGAGTGATGAATTCCCGGCATCAGATTTGGTCCACATCTCCACAAGTGTCTCGAGACATTCAAGCGCTTCTGCTGTGAAAAGGTGCTCCAGAATCCGACGTGACCTGTTCCGCATGCGCAGCGAGGTGTATTGGAACGATGCCATGGACTCAGAGTCGTGAGGCGGACCGTTTCGTTCGCTCGCGCCCCAAGACCAAATGGAGAAACACAAGCGAACGGCATCTTGGAAGCACAGGAGTACAGTGAGTCTGTTGTTTGCGGCGCTTGTACGAGTCTGGTTTGCGTCTGATGTAAACACTCCGGAGACCATGTTCCCGAAGAATCCTTGTGATGCGTCTGGGCTCTTGGTTACTGGAGGATGTGACTCTTCGACAAGCAACCGATCGTGAGCTGTCCCGATACATGTTTCAAGACCAGTCAATAGCGCAATCGTCACATGTTCAGCCCGGTCTTCCGGCCAACTCTCGGTTTGCTTGAAGGCTACCTGCAGGTTATCGTAGGAAGATTCTATCTCTTTGCAGAAGCACTCCACCAGCTTCAAAAGAATATGGAATATAGAGCTGGAGTAGAGCGGGACGAGAACCTCGCAAAGAAGTAATATCCACTTATCCAGTATCTCCCGAGAATTTGGGGAGCTGATTCCTTTTATGAGACACTCCATAAGCTGTTGAGGAGGCTGGGGCAAGGCAGGAGCCGAATGTCCTTTGTCCGCCTTGTCACTGGTGAATGACAGTAGCGAAGGACTCGTCAAGCGATCTCGGGAGTTTGTCCTTTGATGTTTTGGTCTTGGAGGGGGTGGCGGCAGGTATGCCTGAGCAAATCGGACCTTCAATGCCGCGAGCAGAGCATCAATGATTGCCCCTTGGACTGCGACACTGCCACCTCTTTCCAGCACAAGAACAAGTTGTTCAACAAGGAAGGTATCAACACCCGAGTCGGCCAGGTCTTCAGCACCAGGACCCAATAGAAGCTGGCGCATGACAGAAAGGGAGGTTCGTTGTAGTCGTACTTCCTCAGCATTCGACTGTGAAGCCGATGGCCTTTGTCCTCCAACGACCTTGAGGGTAGCATTGAAAATTGTCGAATGGACATTCTTGCCTTCAGGATGTTCCTCTGATGCGGATGTGTTATTGTTTTTGTCGTCTAGCGTGTGGTGGAGAAGAGCTATCCACGCATTGGGAGAAAGGGCGGATATGATCTCTGAGACAGTTTGGAAGAGATAATTGCACTCTTTGTAATCATCCCCAGAGACGGCAAGGTTCTGTCCTTCAACCGCGTTGTGCGCTGCCCGCAAGAAAAGAGTATCGAGATTTGAGATAACAATGCGGAATACCCTTGCCGTGATATATTAGCAAAGTAAGCTCGTCATTGTACTAAAAGGACAACTCACTTGTGTATAGACGGTAGGTCCTGAAGCCACATCTGAACCGCCTGGGACGCTTCACTTGCACCCTGGGAAAGCAAATCTAGAACAATGAAGAGAGGCCGCTCCAGCATTGACGAATGATAGGAGAAAGAAGACTTCCCTACGTCATTCACCTGCTTCGGAGGGAGTTCGTACGTGCCATGGTGACTATGATTCCAGAGAACAAAATATCGTCCAGCCTGCTCTTCTGACGATACGTGGTAGGACAGCGACTGTAATGAACCCACCATCAACGATGTTATCGACGCCTCAACTAAGTGGTCTTGCCATGAGACTGAATGGAGGTGCCATAGACAGCGCACCGCTTCGACGTGGAACTTGGGACTCGATGGCGACAGGAACCGCCAAAGCTGTTTGACGAGAATCGGAATCAAATCTGAGATGTCCTCGTAGCTGGCATAATAGCCAGGTGAGTGGATGAAATATAGACTTGTCAGTGCCGATGTGACTGAAGAAACAACGGAGAAGGACGCTGGGGTTATTCCATCCTGATTCATCTGCATTCTGTTGCAAATGGCCAGGTAGAACCGCCTGTCGCGAAGGGAACGCGACTTGGAAACCTTCTTCAAGAGAGCTATGAGAAGGTTCACTCTTTCCTGTATCGGGAAAATATTGTCACGGCTTTCCAGAGAGGATATGGCTAATTCATGGGCTTCTCGAACAATGAGTTCGCTCATTTGCTTGGGAAGGAAAGGCAGCTGCGGAAGATCCAGGCTATTTTTGCTTTTGTCGTAGAAGGTGTGTATCCGATTCAAGATGTCCTCGTGTCCAGCACTGGAAGTTTGTTTGACGTTTGACACCTTCCTCTCGTGCGATGATTTGTTCAAGAAGGCCCGTTCTATAAGCAGTCCGACCAGATTGTTGACAGTCCTGATCAGTAGGTTTGATGTAGCTTGTCGTTGGTCACGAGTCACTGGGCGATCTTCAGGCAATGCTGACAACTGGTTCATTTTGACCAGGACAGAGAGCACCAGTAGAGGAACATGGACAAGGACCATGTCTTCTTCCCGCACATTGAAGTTTTCCAGTATGAAGTTCGCAAGTTTCAGGTTGTCTAAGACCTTGTCTTGTTTACTCTCCAGATCGCCGGCTTTCCAGTCAACAAGCTCGAGTAGTTCAGAGAAAATGGCACCACTTTCGACCCCATCAAAGAACGCGCTAGCACTGCGGAAAACTTCGTCGAACTGTCCTTTGGGTGCCGTTGTCTCGAAGACCTGCACATTTTTCATGATGGGAAGGAAAACCGTTGGAACAATGTATCCACCAACTTCCCACCGGTCCATCAATGAAAGTGACATTCGAAAAGGCCTTGACCGTTCAGATGGCAAACGAAGGTCCTGCTCAATCGTCTCCAAAAGGCCTTTGGCTAAAGACTGCAGTCCAAATCGATTAAAGTATTCGGATTGGGTGATCTCGCGGCTATCAGGGCCTTGCTTAGGGTTATCTGATGTTGAATTGCGGCCTTCGAATGACGACCGTTCATTTGCAGGCTCTGGTCCTAGAAGCCAGGCCCATAATCTCCGGTTCAAACTCATATCACGCCGCGCGACAACGCCAACAGCTGCAATGATTAATCGCTGAAGATCATCTTTCGTAATCCGCGACTGCAATATTGGTGAGCTTAATGGAAGGTGAGTCACCAACAGGTCGAGGAAGTTTCGCTGGACGAGTACTTGTTCATCAAACAAGCCGGATGCGAAACATCGAATCAACAAGCCGGGTTCTGGGTGAATGACAGAATTGGCTGCAGCGAGCATGTCCGGGGACATGTCAACGGAGTCCCCCATTTCCGCCACACTGGGCCTGCGGCCAGTCATGCCTAGTTTGGGCAAATAACGGTTCAGATAGGCCAGAACACCGGACCGTCTGCTGGGACTGGTGATCGATGCGAGGAAAAGACATTGCCAGAAGTACTGGACGCTAACTCCTGTCTCCGCTCCGGTTTTCTGTGTATCCATCTGACCAGCAGCATCGCGGAATTTGTTGATAAGCCGTAACGTAGGGTCGAAGTCGTCGCTTGTTTCCTCCTCGAGTCCCGGCAGGAGGGCCAACAGGATTGCCTTCAAGGCCGGTCGAATCGCCCATGGTTCAAGCGGGCACATGTATGTCTCCACCAAAGAAAGGAACAACGGTCGAACGGTAAGCGAGGCGAATGTTAAAGTGGGCGCGATGCCTGGTAGGTACAGAGGTAGGTCGTGCGACAAGCCTTCGGACTGGTTTGAGACGGAAGTATGTCAGTAGAAGACCTTTTCCGTTATTCCCAGAAGATTCTCACCTTTATCAGCCCAAATACATATGTGTATACTTCAAGCGCCTTCTGGTGTACGCCGGACGGTAGGGTCGGGTTTAAGCATTGGGAGAGCCGCTTCGATACCAACACCTTGTGAGGGACCACCGGTAGTTCAGGAGGGTGTGCTTGCAGCGCCTGGAGATCGAAGACTATAAGTGACGTCCAAATCCTCCAATTGATCGAGTCTCACCTTCAAAAGGCGACTGAGGAACGAGATGTAATCCGCCCATTCCTGCAATGCTGTATCGAACAGCGACAAGGCCCGTTCGACGCTGGACGCATAACGGCGGTAGTTCTTGTTTTTCTTCAAGTCATCTGGAGACACACAAGATTATTAGTTCCCGTCATTATCAAAATAGCCCATACAGCCGCAACAACCAAGCGGGGGCAGCTGTTCGCATACCTTCCTTTCCTCGTAGTCGGGAGCGCGTAAGAGAACTGTCGGAGCTGGCAGGAGAAATCGACCTCGGGAACGCGCTCGGATCAAGGCTCATGGTGCCAAACTCGAATCGTCAGTGAAACAAAGGCCAGTGAAACCGCACCTCAGCATGTTTCGCGCATTTGAGACTGAATGCCTGAGGGGCTGTTTAGTGGTGGTGGACACGAAGCCAGAAAGGCGGCGGAGATGTTCCTATCCGCTCGGGAGCTAGGCTCCCCCGACGTCAACCTATTCATTCAACAGTGTTTGCTTTATGCTCCAACAACTTGCAACCAGATAATATTAATTAATAAGATGCTCAGCCGGAACTGAGTCGGGGGGTTGCATGATTGAAGAGAGCAACCCCGCTATCTTGGGAGGGGTCCCGATGCGTACGATCTTGAACCCGCTACTATGGACCGGCATGTTCAAGGACAGGCATCATCGAGTGACGATGGGGATGATCTAAAGAGCAATCCCACGGGGTCGCATCCAGAGATAGATTCTGTCAAATCCAGAAGCCGAGACCCCAGCATGAGCTCTGAGGAGCAACGACCACCACTACCACCACGGCCAAATACATTGAACTTGCTGGACGAAAGACAAGCGGCGCAATCTAATCTACAGGCCAAGGCGACGACTGCAGTGTCTCTAACCGACATTGAATCACAGCAAATTCCTGACACTGTCCCCAGCCGTGGTCTACCGGAGACACTGAGGGCCAGGACGAGTCTCAGCCAGATCGGAAGCTCCAGAGCAAGCGAGACTGGTGACTCCATGAGCATCAGGAGCTCTATTCCAAATACTGACGTTGGTGAAGTTGAAAATGTGTTCAATGATTTCATCGCAACGGAGCCTGGGACAATTCATCAGGACAGCACCGGTCTGCTCCTGTTCCCCGAGTTTCGGGCCGATGATGTGGAGGACGATTTTGTGAGCGAGTTTGAGTCGGTTGGGGAAGTGGATGAGCATGGAGAAAATGAAGGTTTGTGCTTCTTTCCGAATTAAATATTGACTCATGCTGATAATCGCAGAATTAATTCTTGAGAGATGGAAGGCAAAGAAGAAACACTATCTCATTCTCTCTGCTGCCGGAAAACCTATCTGGACTAGACATGGTGATGGAGGTTTAATATCCACCTATATTGGCGTCATCCAAACGATTATCTCATTCTACGAAGATGCAAAAGATCCTCTGAGCAGTTTCACGGCCGGTGACACAAAGTTCCTGATCCTCACCAAGGGACCGCTGTACCTGGTCGCAATTAGCCAGCTCTTGGAAAGCGATAATCAACTCAGACTCCAGCTCGAGGCACTATACATGCAAATCCTATCGACATTGACTCTCCCTTCCCTAACCCATCTATTCTCCGTCCGTCCATCTACCGACCTGAAACGACCTTTACAAGGAACCGAATCCCTTCTATCAACATTAGCCGATAGCTTCACCAAAGGCTCACCCACTACCCTTCTATCAGCATTGGAATGTCTAAAGATCCGCAAGGCGCACAGACAAACCATCAACAATGCTCTTCTAAAGACCAAAGTCAGTAGTCTTCTCTACGGCTTGGTTGTGGCAGGCGGTCGACTTGTCAGTGTCGTGCGTCCTAAAAAGCATTCATTGCACCCTGGCGACCTACAACTCCTGTTTAATATGATCTTCGAAGCAGAAGGCGTCAAAGCTGGTGGTGGTGAAAGTTGGATTCCTGTCTGTTTGCCCGGGTTCAACAGTACTGGGTATCTATATATGTACGTCAGCTTTCTCGACCTTCGCGATGAGACTAGCAATGCTCCGGATGAGGATACGACGAAGGAGGAATCTGTTGCTATTATCTTGATCAGCACGAATAAGGAGAGTTTCTTTGAGTTGCAGGAGATGCGGAATACTCTTGTCGAGGTCAGTATACTTCCCCACTTCCAATGCGAAACGGAAAGGTTAACTTCGATCACAGCAACTCGAGAAAACCAAAAGCATCAAAATAATCAAAACCGCAGTCGATAAGGGCCGCCCAAGTACTACCGACATCGTCCCCGGGACAGTCCTCCACCACTTCCTTTACAAATCCAAAGCCAACGTCCAATTTACCATGTCGTCCTTTGACCCCGATTTCTCAAGTAACTCACGACGTCGAAGGTTCGCTCTCCTCGCGCCATGCCTCCTTTACCCAACCATTTAGCTAACTGTCTGCCCAGGCTAATGTCTACATACAACAACCTCCACGCGAGCATTCATGCTAAGCATACACACGTTAAAGTTCACCACTGCGTTTCTCAGTCTGCGACCTCGTTCGCGTGGGTTACGCCCATGTTCGAGCTGTACTGCGTCGCTGGTCCGAACGCGAATCGAAATGCGCTTGCGCAGAGTGCGAGCAAGATTGTCCAATGGGTACAGAAAGAAGAGGAGAGGTTGTTTATCATAGGGGGCGCGGTAAGTAGAATTACCAGAGTAGGCGATTTTGGGGAATAATAGCTGACTATCTTATAGATATTCTAGAATTTATTCATTGGACGGTTACTATAGTCTTGATTTGCAGCAGATTTACGATAGATGATGTGCTTAACCACAATATTCCATTTTGGTTGGATATAGTGCTGGAGCAATTTCACGATATAATTGAGTTGCTGATAACTTATTCTCGCTGTTTCTATTCGATCTTGGTATGCAGATTGTAGCACATCCATTAATCAAGCGAATCGTCGCGCAAAGCAAAAAGCTGGCGTATAAGCTCATCCGACTTACTCCGCAGAGCATCGTGATACATAGTATTCGTGATGAACCTCTTGCAATTCTTGATTTTCTCAACCATTGCATCCGAGTGCTCAATATGCACATACATATCATCTACGTAGCTGGCCGCGTAGACGGGGACTTCATTGTTCGCCAGTTTGTTGTAGTCGTACAGCGCAGGCCAGTCTTGTGTGGAGGCAAGGATGTCGGCGACTTCTCTTAGCTGTTTGAGTTCGGTGTATGATTCGAACATGTCTTTGTAGATCTGTTGATAGGCATGGCATGAGTTGTCTTTGTTTCTGACGGGAAAGGGGTATCGTGTCTTACCATCTCGCCGGTGAAGTAGATTTGGTCTTTGTTCAGGTCAATGTGGAAATACGGATCTTCAGTCCGTTGTCTGTCTGCTGTCCAGTTTGAGGCTTGTCTGGTTGCTGTCAGCACAATGGGAGTTCTAAATTCAGATGAGTGGGCTTTTACCCCTGGCAATAGATGGACTCATGAAGGACAGCATAGATGACATTGCTATCATAGCCACCATATCCATCAATTGCATTTAGAGTTGGACGGGTCAAAAAGCCAAATATGTTCAGATCGTTCGAAGCGCGCAGAATCAGATCTGTTGACTCTGTTTAGCAAGATATCTCATACTCGAAAGTGACAGTCTTACCGTGAATACTATCCAAGCCACCTATTCTTTGTTAGACATGAGTATCGCATTTTATATACCGCTGTACTTACCATGCATTCCAAACATGATACCAAGCTGCTGAATTCGCGCAGGCGTGAGTGTCCCAGAAGGCACGAAGACTTGGTTCTCTTGCAGGTATTGGACGATCTGCTTAACCCGGGTGGCATCTTCGGGGTATTTAGCATAGTAGGCCTTGTTCCTCTCTGTAACCTTTTCTTCGACGAATTAGCTATACAGCAAAAAGGCCCAGTAGATTCTTTATACACACCGTAAGTGCGAGCGTAAACTGATTCCGGTTCGTAAACATTCGGAGGGACTCCGCCGCAAAGGAAAGTCTCAGTCAACCCTTCCGGGCTTATCAAGTGAGAATAAAGAGTCAGAAATGAGGAATTATTGCCAAAAGGGCAAGCACATACAACATGGAAAGATAAGTCACCGCACAAAACCCGCCAAAGCTCTGGCCGATAACGCTCCATTTGCGCTTGTCCTCGGGATAGTCCGCCGTCAGACACCGGCGTATGGCCTCACAGTCACGAACAATGTTGTCTGCTCGAAATTTCTTCAGGTATTCAGCCTGTCTGATTGCGTTTCCCTGTCGAGCCAGCGTGTCCGCGGTGACCGTTGAGCTGAGTCCAGTGCCGCGCTGATCCAAGAGCAGAACCTATGTCACGATTAGACACGAGGACAAACGATTAAATGGAATAATTATCAAATTTATCAGTCAAGGAAAGGATCTCATACCTGGTAGTCTTTCTCGACAACGGGCCCAATCCAGGCGTAGTCCTGCGGGGCACGACATCCCATTCCCGGACCACCTTGAAGATAGACCATCCAAGGCAATTGCTTGTCGCCATTCCTTTCGGGTTCAGCGGGCTTGTTCAACCGACGGGCACTGCGTGCAAAAAGTCTCAAGGTGCCCTCATTTGGCTTGCTGTAGTCGAGCGGGACGTCGAAGAACAGCTCTGCCACGCGGAGCTTTCCTGCAGCGGGGTGTCAATGTTTACTACTAACAGTATGAAAAGTATCGGAGACACATACCCGGAACATTGTGGAAATTCCGCTCGACTAATTTTGCAGCCATGTTCATGGTTCTTCGAATATATATGTTTTGTTGTTGGTGAGATTCCTCCGTGTTGTTTGATACCGCGACGCCAAGAGGGACCTTGATATGTCCACTCCGGACTGGATTGATGAAAAATAGACAATTGAATATTATAATTGAAGTGAAGATTGAAGAGAGGAATAACTAGCGTAATTATCTAGGGTGAAATAGTATGGATGACTGGAATGTGGAGTACGGAGCACAACACAGTGGGGATATATAACCGAGTGCTGAGCATACATATGGCTTGCCAACTTCTATATCACTCAATTCTTTTTTCGAAGAACATGCATAATAAGTTTTGTTATCTTTATATACATTGAGCTCTTATCTGACGCCAAAAATTGGCTGTGTGTGTATATATTAAAGCGTGACTCAACCTCTTCTGCACGATTCCTTCGGGAATCTGGTCTCTCTCCCACTTCTCGTTTTCATGAGAGAGCATCTCTTTGACATCCAAGACTTATACCAATCCAAAGCAATATGGTCGACAGCTATGAAAATACCGTACAAGGAGGGCAAAGCCTCGAAAGCCTCATACGGAACGCTGCACTGAGCCGTCAGAAGTCAGGGGTCCTGCCTAGCGAAGATAATCTAGAGCATGCTAGAGCGTCTTTACCACATGCTCTATCCTCTGATGGTGTCGGGTATGACCAAACAATCAAACATATTATAGACGACCTCGTCCCGGCATTCAACAACAGCAGCCTCTCCTCCAATTATTACGGCTTTGTGACTGGCGGGGTTACTCCAGCGGCCATGTTTGCCGACAATGTCGTGTCCATGTTTGACCAGAACGTACAAGTACACCTCAAGGAGCACTCAATCGCCACAGACGTCGAATATAATGCGCTGGGTTTGTTAGTTGACTTGCTACGACTTGACCGGCAATCCTGGCATAATGGAACATTTACGACGGGTGCGACGGCCAGTAACATCTTGGGTTTGGGATGTGGTCGAGAATTCATTTTACGAGCAGCAGCGGGAAGGAAGGGGATTTCAGTTGCGAGCGTTGGAGAGTATGGGCTGTTTGAAGTGATGCAGGCGGCTGGTCTCTCAAAAGTGCAGGTTCTTTCAACTCTACCTCATTCGTCACTTGCAAAGGCTGCTGCAGTACTGGGAATTGGACGCGCTAACGTCAAAAACGTGCCTCGGGAAGATGATTCCCTGCGATTCGATATGACACAGCTTGAGGCTGAGCTGGCAAGGCCTGATAAAGTCAGTATCTTCTCCGTGTCATGCGGCGAAGTCAACACTGGCCGGTTTGCGACGAATGGCATCGAAGATATGCGGCAGCTGCGCAGACTCTGCGATACGTACGGAGCCTGGTTGCACGTGGACGGAGCCTTTGGTATCCAATGCCGGATCCTCGATGATAGCGCCGAGTTTGCTTCGCTCAAGGCCGGATGTGAGGGGATTGAACTCGCGGACTCTATTGCCGGGGACGGTCACAAGATGCTCAATGTACCCTATGATTGTGGCTTTTTCCTTTGCCGTCATGACAAGGAGGCCGCAAATGTATTCCAGAATGCGAACGCGGCCTATCTTGCATCTGTTGCTACGCAGGATATTCAATCTCCTCTGAATATCGGGATCGAGAACTCCAGGCGATTCCGGGCGTTGCCGGTCTATGCATCCCTTCTATCACTTGGGCGCACGGGCTATCAAGACATGCTGCAGGGGCAGATTCGGCTGGCTAGGAAGATAGCGGGGTGGTTGTTCGACCATGCTGAGTATACAGTGTTGCCAGAGACAAGCAGTAAGGATGAGCTGCTGAAGCACACGTACATGGTTGTGCTGTTTTGTGCCAAACGAGACAATATGAACCGTGAGCTCAGCACTAAGATTAATGCGCCGTTGAGGATGTTCGTGTCTGGAACTGCCTGGCAAGGGAAACCGGCTTGTCGAATTGCTATTGCAACCTGCATGGTTGATGAAGAGAGGGACTTCGGTCTCGTAACTGATGTTCTGGACAATATCAGTGAAGAAACCAAGTCTTAATCTCATTGTCGAGCATACATATACATTCCATAACGTCTATACTGAGCTTGATATAGAGCAGCATGCAAACAATGAAAACCTGATTGGATATATACACGAGAAATCCACACGAAAATACTTTTATCTTACCTGCGGCGCCCGGCACCACCCATGTTGTCTGCTTTATCAGCCATACTGACCACCTCCCCAATACCAGCCGCTTCCTGTTCATCCTCCAGTGCCATAACCTCTTCTCTACTATCCCACCATTTCTCCTCTGCCATATTGAAAGCATCCTTCCGGAGCTCCTTCACGTTCTTCTCCATCTCTATGCCCTTTTCGTTGATGGTGTCAATCAAGATCTTCTGCCACTCTTCAGATGTCCGGGTGAAGAACTCCCGCAAGCTTTCAAACGGACGAGGAAGGGGTCTGCTATCATTCGCAGATGGCTCTGACTCTTCGACCTCGAGCTGTTCCATTTCACGCGTGACGGATGGCACTGTCACCTCGGTAGGTGCGGGAGAAGCAGCATCAAGCGACATGGCTTCCTCTTCTTCCACATCCACTTCTTCCTCTTCGTCGTCATCGTCCATATCCTCGTCGCTGTCTTCTTCCTCCTCAAGAAGGTTCCAGTTCTCGGGTTCATTGTAGAAGACCTCTTTGACGCCGTCAAGCTTGACCAGGTCAATCGAGTACATGTCGTTGAAAGTGAATTCCTTGTCTCCCTTTTCAAACATTCCGCTGAAGATAAAGAGAGTATCATCCTGGACTGCTAATTGGGCGTTAAACCGTCTGTGAGGCATCTCGAAACGGATGATGGCCTGTTTCTCAGGCTTTTCGGACTCTTCTTCCTCCGTTGCCTTAGGGGTATCTAATTGGGGTTCGTCATCATCATCGTCACGAATGCCTCCTTTGACTTCCAGAGCCTTGAGGTTCTGCAAAAGCTCCTCCTCATCCGCCTTGCTTCGGTTCTTGGCCTTCATCTGGTTCGCAGCCTGCTTCTTTCCTGGCGCCCTTGGACGCCGTAGGGTAAGCGGGAAGAAACGGTTCCGATCCGTATTCCAGGCGAACAGGGAATCGAAGAATTCGCTGTCAATCCCTTCCTCACTCATCTCAACATCATGGACACCACCGAACATGATACCACGTCCTTTGTGGTAAGCCATGGTAGACCCTGCTCGCGGTGGATTAGGCGAGTTGGCAGGCTTCTTTCTGCGCTCCCAGCGCACTGCGGGTGGAGTGCTTACAGATGCATCCGATTCGGGAGGCGTGATCCGAAGGAACCATGTATCTTGGTGCACCATTGGCCTCATTGCCATGCGTTGTGGGCCACCCTTGATCTGCTTGCCTCCTGCAGCGGCCTTCACACGAGAGTAACCACCATACAGCACTGCACCGGATTCATGGGGTAAGAATGAGAAAGATGAACGAGGATCAGGCTTCTGAGTTGGTACAAGATTGAACCAAGTGTATCTGGCACAGTCGTATATCCACAGGTCTTGAAGGTACTTGGTCTGTTGCGAAGTATCCTGGAACCCTCCAAAGAGGATAATGTAGTTCTAGACAAATTAGCATCCATTATGTACCAAGAAAGGCTCCAGACTTACCTTGTAATAGGTCATTCTGTGACCACTTCGTGCCGGGGGACCCTTTGCCTTGGTCTCAATTCGAGTCCATTCTCTGGTTGCCGTATCAAGGTGCCAAAAGTCATTGTAATGATAGAATGTGCCCTGCTTCGGCGAAGAAAACTCTCCTCCGAACATGTATACACCACCGGTATTCCCTCCCCGGCACCAAGCATGACCACTCCGAGGAAGTGGACTATTCGGACTCGTAACTTCTCTCCATTCACCACGATCAATCAAATAGACAAAAAGGTTGTTAAAGAATGTCGCAAACGTTCCATCAAAGTACTCTCCGCCATACACCAACAATTCATTTCGGTTAGACGGCGATGCAAGGACCGTCGCAGAAGACCGAGGCGTAGGCGGCCCCGAAACCACTTCTGTGACTTTCAGGAACTTGGCTTGCTCTTCTGCGTACTGAGCCAGAATCGCATCGAGATCGGCCTCTTCCACATCACTGTCTGCATCGCTGCGGCCTTTGGTCTTGCCCTTCTTGTCCTTTTTGTCGGCTTTCTTGTTTTGCTTGGCCGCTACTCGTTCCTTGTGTTCGGCGGTCTTCTTTTTGTCTTTTTTACCCATGGTGATATATCAGTTGGTTTGCCTCTAAATTTATTTAGAGATAATGAATTCAATATTGAAGAACTGGTGCGTTGTAGTTTTCTGGAACTGTGGGGTTAGGATTCTATAGAAAAAAATTTCCCCCGACATACAAAATATCGTCGATTACGCTGATAACAAAACAGCAAAGCGCCAACACTGATAGATAGATTATGTTATTACTGAAATTTTTCTAGAAAGCAAATCTATACAATGATTGAGTCATTATATCCGAATATGAAAGTTGAGCCTAATACAACAGCTAAAAGCATATGTATGCCTTATCGCCTCAGGCATAAAAATGCCACCTTACCGCCCACGTGACAGCGCGTCGAAACGCGTTCCGCCTTTTGGAGTTGGTATGATCTAAAGTCGAAGAGCGACAGACGTCAAAAGAGTCCGGCACGTTCGCGGGTTGTTGAATGAGAGCGCTGCAGAATGAATAAAATCGAAACACGCCTCTATGACTAAAAGCAATTTAGCGACTCATCTCAGATGGCTTGTGAAGCAAGGCCCTTCGCTCTACCCCTCTTTGACACCTTCCGCGCACGAAACCCGAGACGATATAACCACTCGGAACCCTGCTCCAGCACTACCGATTTCAGCTTTAGGTCAGGCAGGCGCCGGTTCGAGTTTTGGGAGAGATAGTGATTTGGATAGGATACCGGGGACGATTGTCGAGGATACGGGGAGCAATGACGCGGATGCCGACACGAATATGGCACGATTGCAATTTGCTCCACAGTCGGCGAGTAAACCTCGATTGTTGAGCTCTTCTAAGAGTCCCTTCGAAGGGACTCCTAAGAAGTCACTTGAGCGTATCCCCGAGAAATCGCCTACTGCACATTGGGGTGTGCAACCCCAGAAAGGTGCGATTAAGCCGGGACAAGTGAGTGGAATGCGACTAGAAAGGCTAACGGCTGTTGGAGACAGATAATGATTACGACCTACCTCCTTCGTCGCGAAGTTTCTTTAAAAAGTCTACAACGTCCCCCATCAGGCCCAAACGGACCTCTGGCCTCGATTCGCCGGCACTGGATATCGATGCCATTGACCTGACAGGCGATATTGAGCTGCCCGCAGCTCCGTCATCCGGCACGTTAGAGGAATTTGGCGAACCGCGTCGATTATGGACAGCAGACGCTGCGTCTCGGAAAGAACCTGACGAGAAACGAGGGAAGAAAAGGAAAAGCGATGAATACAAATCCGATCTTTTGTCACCGAGGAGACACGCTCCGAAAGTCCATTCGCCATTAGCACTAAGTAAATCTGCGGCTTCCAAAGACCCGGCACCATATGCTTCTCCCACGGCACACCGCCACGCCGCCTCTTCGCCAACCAAGCAGCGCGCTCATACAGAAGACCGGGTAATTCGTGATTCCGACGACGATGGCGACGATGGCGACGATGACCTATTTGACGACTGGATGCAAGGAGATGATCCGATCCTAGAAAACGACGATGGGCTGTATCCGGTTCTTCCCAAAGAGAATCACTCGGATAACCACGAGGATGGTAGGTTATGGGAATCACCGATACGGGCGTCTGCACCATCATTCAAAAAGGACGATTCCCCGACCCCAGTTATTATATCTCCTGTTAAAAGGCCATCGCCCAAAAAACAAGCAAGCCCTGAAAGAAAGCCTACCTATTCGTCTCCGCTTCCGACCAGCTCTCAGACCCCACAAAATGAGAACATCGTGAAATTCTTAGAATTCTCGGTTGATTCTCTAAACAATGCAATCACGGAGCTCAAGAGTTCGCTTACGAAGAACGCAGAGATCGTATACCAACAGGCAATGGAGGGTGTACCAGCACTTGAACTCATCACCGTCAACAAAACCCTCAAAGGCCGGATAGAGGCTATTGAACAATTGAAACAGAAAAAAATCGCACACAAGACTTGCCAATCGAGGAAAGACAGCTTGAAGAAATCCCTCATTCGGGCTATATCTGAAGGAGACGACCCTTCGACAATGTCTGAACTTGCGGAAAGTCGGTCTGTGTCTGCAGAACTCGGGCAGATCGAGGAAGCAATGCGTGATCTTCTTTCGCGAGCTGATATCCTCGATATGGCTTCAAGTTCTTTGGCCTCGACGACACCAAAGCCTAGCAGTGACAGGCTTACCAGTGATACAGGAAGTAGTGCCATGGCTTTTAACCGCGCAGGAAGCCCTCTGCTTGTGTCTCCTGCGCAACCAACGTCAACCAACACTATGTCCCGAGCGGACACCTCAGCTCCTGCGACGGCACCACTTTCTAGAACCACAACAGACAACGACGTATTTGCAGTGTTTGATTATGACGAGCCGATGAGTGAAGGAGAGGATTGTTTCACGCGCACAATGGGCTCGCCGTCGTTTCCGGCTTTTGAAGCAGATGAATTTGACCTGGACGCGAATGACGAAGATATGTTTGAAGCTGCCGGACAGTTTGAGGGCAATCGATCCCCCGCAGTTGATAATTATGCATCTCACGGCCGCAAGGTTTTTGGGGAAACATCTGCAAATGCTGTCCGCGTCCCTTCGCCTGACAAGTCACCAGTTCGGGCCGCTCTATGGAATCAACATTCATGGTCAATGGATGTAAAGAATGCCTTAAAGGACCGATTTCATTTACGGGGTTTTCGAATGAACCAACTCGAGGCCATCGATGCTACTCTGAGCGGGAAGGACACGTTTGTTCTGATGCCAACGGGTGGAGGAAAGTCGTTGTGCTATCAATTGCCCTCCGTTGTATCCAGCGGCACTACTAGAGGGGTCACGATCGTGATATCCCCATTGCTGAGTTTGATGCAGGACCAAGTTGACCAGTTACAGAGGCTCAAGATCAAGGCTATATTGCTGAACAAGGATACCAAAAAGGAAGAAAGAACACAGGTGTTGAGCACTCTTGCCCGCCACGGGGCGGATGAGCATATCCAGCTGCTCTATATAACGCCGGAAATGATGAACAAAAACCAAGTTCTCAATCGAATCCTGGAGAGTCTTCACAGCAGGCAAAGACTTGCACGGATCGTCATTGATGAAGCTCATTGCGTTAGCCAATGGGGACATGATTTCCGGCCCGATTATAAAGAGCTAGGACAGATTCGCAACCAGCTGCCGGGGATTCCGATGATGGCGTTGACTGCGACGGCAACGGAAAATGTCAAGGTGGACGTTATACATAATCTCAAAATGAAGGGGTGTCGAGTATTTACGCAAAGCTTCAACCGCCCTAATTTGACGTACGATGTACGTCCGAAGCCAAAGGGGGCTGAGCTTCTGAACAGCATTGAAAACATTATCAAGACATCTTATCGAAACCAGTCCGGCATAGTCTACTGTCTCTCACGGAAGGTCTGTGAGAAAGTTGCGGAAGCTCTCCAGGAGAGAGGAATCAAGGCTGCTTTCTATCATGCGGGCATCGAGACAGCCAAGAAAGCGGAAGTACAGCAGCGTTGGCAGTCCGGCCGTTACAATGTCATAGTCGCAACCATTGCTTTTGGAATGGGTATTGACAAGCCAGATGTTCGATTTGTGATCCACCATAGTATCCCAAAGAGCCTTGAAGGCTATTACCAAGAAACTGGACGTGCTGGGCGGGATGGTAAGCGTTCTGGCTGCTACCTCTACTATTCCTACAAAGATACGTCGATGATAAACCGCATGATCGACAGCGGTGATGGTGATTGGGCACAGAAAGAGCGACAGCGTCAGATGTTACGGAACGTCGTCCAATATAGCGAGAACAAAAGTGATTGCAGACGGGTGCAGATTCTCGCCTATTTCAACGAATACTTCCGTCGCGAGTATTGCAATAAATCCTGTGATAATTGCAAGTCAGATTCGGTTTTCGAAACGCGTGACTTTTCCGAATACGCTTCCTCCGCTATCAAACTTGTGCGTCATTTTCAAGAAACGTTGAATGAAAACGTGACCCTACAATACTGCGTGAACATATTTCGGGGTAGCGTGAAAAGACCCAGGTCTCCCGAGCACCGACAAATCCCGTGGAATGGAGTCGGCTCAGCTCTGGAGCTACCGGAGGCAGAGAGGCTTTTCCAACGACTACTCAGCGAGGGGGCGTTTAGAGAACATAATGTGGTCAACGCCAGCAGCTTCGCAACCCAATATCTCAAAGTGGGCCGACGCGCTGCTGAATTTGAGAGTGGCCGACGCGATTTGAAGCTCCAAGTACGGCTCTCGCCCAGTAAAGCAACACGGTCAACCACTGGCACCCGCCCAAGTGGAAACGATGATCATCCAATGTCCACGAATGTGTCCTCGCCTGTCCAATCAGCGAGCCACCGTCGTCTGGCCAAATTCCGGCACCACGCATCTAAGGACGAGGATTCAGGCAGCGAGGATAGTGATGGTTTTGAGAGGATCCGGGTTGCTGGCAAACCGCGGCAAGAAAAGAAGCGAAGTTTGGGTCCACCGATAACTGATGATGGCGATTTCTCTCGTCTCGACCAACTTCACCAGGCCGTTGCAGAGGATTTCATGTACTTCGCTAAGCAAACATGCCAGCAGGTGAGTTATCGAACAATCTTACTGCTATGTATCACAAGGTATACTGACCCATGCGACAGATAATGATGGAAAAGGGCCTCCGGAATCAACCTTTCACGGACGGTATTTTGCGTAAAGTAGCTATACGGTTGCCCAAAGGTAGACTATTCCCCCTTCCCTCTCCTAAGCGCCTTTAATGAGATTGCTAATGATAAACAGATCTGTCTGAACTTGCTGCCATTCCTGGAATCGACACTGACAAGGTTTCGCGATACGGGAACAAGATATTGGAGTATGCGAAAAACACACGGCGCCGGCTCGCGGAACTCAAAAAGGACGGCGAGGATGCCGATGGTATTGTCGCGGACCCGAACCATACCAATGTCATCAATCTTGACAGTGACAACGAGTTTGGCGGCGATGATATCTTCGAGGATCAAACATCGAGTCTTTTTGACTTGGACGAGGGCAATACCGTCTCTAGTCGGTTTTTCCCCGAGCAACCACCTCTAGCGCATGATTCGTCGGACGAATTTCACGATGCTGTTTCGGAACAAAGCGGTCCTAAACCCCGTAAGCGCCAGTCTGGCAAACGATCACGCCGGAAAACCCCATCCGGCTCGGGGTTCAAAGCGAAGGGCTCGAGATCGAAAATACCAAAGTCCGGCGACGGCACGAGTAATCGCTCTTCCTCGTCTCGAAAGCCGACGAAAGCAAAATCTTCTAATTCTGCGCCCCGAATTCCCATAATGCCTACTTGAATTGTTTCTAATTGTCTTTTGGTTGTTGATTGCATGATGATATCCCTTTCTGTGGTTTGTGTGGCGTTCTGCGTGTTGCATTGTTCACGGCCTGTGTCTGACCGATAACCTTTGCTGTATCCCTAGGCGTTATATTGGCATCAAACTTCGAGCCTTTGCCTCTTATACTGCGTGTTCTTAAAAGCGATGTTTCCGTGGGCTACATACCGTGTCCTCAATGTACAATTCGAAGGGTTTGTTTGATCAGATACTCATATCTGCTATTGCATTATATAAACTTTATTCAAATAAACTCAATCGCTCAGGGAGCGCCCGAAATCAACCAGCCGTAACCGTCTAGCATCACGAGGGTGGAACTGGGCGACCTTCGCTCTCACTAGAAACCTAGAGGTCGCCGACTCTCGAGGGAGGTCAATATACGAATTATCGGCGTCAATCAATGAGTCAAGAAGCGTATGCATTTCTGCTGCCGCTGCCTCCCTTCTATTGGACGGACTTGATTGTTGATCGTTCTCTCGCCCTGATTGCCGGCGCATAAGCTGATCTATCCGTTGCTGGCCGCCATCCTGATCTGTATTCGAAGCTTTCGGCTTTTTAGGCTTCCCGTGGTTTGTGTAGCCCGCCTCTAGCGTGGCATCAGGGGTCTCTAATGCATCTCCAACAGTTGGACCTCCTAGACCTTCCGCGGCAAGCATCGCAGCCAGTTGATCGTCAACGAAGTCATGCAAAGAAGCTCTTAAGTCGTCCGCATCTTTGTCGAGATCTTTATTTTTCGCACGTTTCTGCTCAATGAGCTCCTCCGCAAGTTGAGGCGGTGATTTCTCCTTCTTTCTGGATTTCTCGCTCCGGGTTTTTGCGATTCGCTCTTCTAACCCCTTTCTGATCGCTTGAGCATCATGCAGGTTTGCTTCTTCGGTCTTTAAACGTTGCCGGTTGGCAGAGAGCTTTTCTGTTGTCATAGAGACTGATACTTTGCTTTCTTTGACTAGCCGGGATATCTCTTCGATGGCTAGTAAAGACGGTAACGGGGATCCCGGTGTGGGCAGCTCGTGCTCTGACCCTAGGAGAGAATCATATGCTTTCTTGGCTCTTCGTACTTGAGACAGCCGGGACTGGGGGTCTGTGCCTATGCTTGAGAGGTCGAATGTATTGGTGATATGCTACCATAGATGTTAGAGGTCTATTCTTTGTTCAATCGCTATGTTCGAAAGCGCACCTTCAGTTCATCATCTTGGTGCTTGGCTTGATCTTGTAGTTCCTTTAATGCCGCATCCAATTTCTGTTTGTATTCCTGAATGGATGTCTGGTCAAGTTGTTGCTGATCATATTCGTCCTCTGCTTTCTGACGCCTTTCCGAAAAGTGCTGGATCTTCGTGATGGTCTCCTTTGATACATCCATGTCGCGTCAGGGGCGTCGATGGTTCTCGGGACTTCGTACAAATCCAAGCAAACCGCCGTGATCCTGTAATATTATTTTCAGGTTCCAAATAAGCTGGCGCGATTAAGTATCAATACAAGAGTGTTCATTGAGCAGTGTTCTAACCGTTGATGCCGTTTGATATCGCCCCACGTGATCCTACACGCGCGTTTCCCGGTTAGGCCTAGCGTGATCCCGTGCCCGGCGCCTGCCCGACCTCGTCTTGCAACATCATCTCTTCCTCGCGCTTTCCTCTTGCTGTTGCTCATTCTCCATCGGCTTCGTTCCGTTTTCTGCAGCTTCTTTGCTCTTGACATCTTCGTCGCAGCGTATTTCTTGCTCCGACGCTCTCGATTACTTGTTTTCCTTGTCATTGGACTGAGATCCGATAGCTCCCCCTTTTCAGGTTGTGTGGCGGATCATCTGGCTTCTACAGCGTTAGGAAATTTTCTTGCGTTTTTGTGGGAGAATTAAGATTAGGGACGCCAGGTTTTGGCAATTTGTGTTTCAAGGCTCCATTGTGCTTTCTCTATTTGCCTTCCCTTTCCCCCAGCGCTCAGATATTCACCACACCCGTCAACCTTTAACCTCGCCCGGACCCTGAATACTCCTTTTTCATCTCTCCAGAATTTGTCTTCCGCTTCATCGCACCAGACTCGAGCAGCCTATCACGTCTGCTCAAAGTCAAGACCCAGCATTTACACTTCTCCTTTCGTCGACCACCTCTCCAACTTCACACTTTGCACTGCACGATCACCAGCACTTCCCAATCACACTTCAAGCACCAGATTCCCTCTCCCGTCGATCGCCAGCACCAGCAGGTTTTATTGGGAATTCCTGGTGTACATAATCGATCAAATAAAAAACAAACAAGACAAGAAACGTTGTTTCTCCTGATACTACGGCTTCTTTCGTAAGTCAAGCAAGACTACTGCACAGCTGAAACAAAATCATGTCTGCGTCACCATTGCAATCGACCAAGCGTCCCTTGGAGGACCCTTCGTCACCTTCGGGCCCCAATGACCAGCCAGAGGCCAAGCGTCCTGCTCTGGACAAAGTAGTTAAGGGCGACGAGACTGAGGTCGCTTCGGCCGATGGCCAGGGAGACACTGTTGTTCCCGATGCTCCCAACGGTAAGGGTGCCTCTTCGGAGACCCAGCCCATCCAGTCGACTGCTTCTCATTCTGAGAGAGCTGGCTCTCAGTCGGACAGCCGTCCTCAGGATGAGTCGAGCTGGATCCATATCCGTGCTGTAATCTCGAGCCAGGAGGCTGCCACTGTTATTGGAAAAGGTGGGGAGAATGTGTCCCAGATCCGCCGTCTGTCGGGGGCCAAGTGCACCGTTAGCGACTACTCTCGTGGTGCAGTGGAACGTATCTTGACCGTCAGCGGTCCTCAGGATGCTGTTGCTAAGGTAAGTTGCGGATTGTTTGCTTCAGTATATGATGCTAACTGAATCTAGGCTTTTGGTCTGATCATTCGTACTCTCAACAATGAACCCCTTGATGCTCCTTCCACTGCCCAGTCCAAGACTTATCCTCTGCGTTTACTAATTCCTCATATCCTCATTGGTTCCATCATTGGCAAGGCCGGTGTCCGTATCCGCGAGATCCAGGAGGCGTCCGGTGCCCGTCTGAACGCTTCCGACGCTTGTCTTCCCTTGTCTACCGAACGGTCTCTCGTCATCCTCGGCGTTGCTGATGCCGTACACATCGCCACATACTACGTCGCCGTGACCCTCGTTGAGCAACTCACTGAACGCTTTGGAGGACCGGCAGCTTCTGCGTACGCTACTCGGAGCGGTGGTCCCGCTGGAGCAGTGCCCGGTGGCATGCAAGTCGTGCCTTACGTCCCTCAGCCGGCTGGTGGTCAATACGGTCACCCCGAAACCTTCAGGCGACATCACCCTCACCCCAACCGCGCCGCAGCAGGTGCTTACGGTGTTCCTTACGTGCACGGCCAGCCCGCACCTACGCCTGTCGCGCAACCCATGCCATACGGTCCTACCCCTGTTCCTGCCGCTGCTGCTCCTCACGCCGCATACGCTGGAGCCGGCCCGCAGGGCCCCGCGCCTTACGGTCCCCAACCTGCCGCGGCACGGGGTGCTCCGACACCTGCGGCGCCAGTTGGTGGAGTCATGCCCGGTCAACCATTAACGCAGCAGATCTACATCCCCAACGACATGGTCGGTGCTATTATCGGAAAGGGTGGTGCGAAGATCAACGAGATCCGTCATCTGAGTGGTAGTGTGATTAAGATCAACGAGCCGCAAGAAAGCAGCAACGAGCGGTTGGTTACGATTACCGGTACCCAAGAGTGCAACCAGATGGCACTCTACATGCTATATTCGCGACTTGGTGAGTGACCCCGCATTGTGCCAGAGAAGTGAGCAGTAGCCTAACTTTATTGCAGAAAGTGAAAAGCACCGTGTCTAGAGAGGCTTCAGAGCCAAATTTAAACGGATGTGATTCTCTAAAAGTCATACTTTATGGTGGCCGTAATGACTTGGTGTGTTTCTTCTCGGGTATATCGTTTATGTGTATTTTATCGAAGGCGTTTATTCTGTCGCTGTATTTCTCAGTATCATAATAATGAGGATTTTCTTTCTTTAAAAAGACACAAGGCTTGAATTACAACACGAAACAAAATCAGATCTTCTTAAAGCTAACATGCTTCATCTTCAACCCCTCAACCGGAGACAACGCCTTCTCCCGAATCAGCTGAATCGTCTCCTTAAACTCCCTCGTCTCCCGAACAGCCATATGCGTCTCCACACTCTCCCACCCAACAGCCAAAAACTGCACAAACGCCCGTCCAGACGGACTAGCCGTATGCTCCACACCACCCGGCCGATCCACATGACCCATGGACCACGACACAGGCCTCTTCCCCTCCTCCAGTTTCTCCGTCAGCGCCGTGCGGAAGTCAATCAAGTTCTGATTCAGCGCGCTGTGCTCGTCGGGATTCAGGGAGGTCGGGAAGGAGAGCGCCACGAGCTCGGTGACGGGGTTGGTTGTTAGGGTTTCAGTGTCTGTGAGGGAGGGCACGAGGGTCGTGTAGAGGGTTGTGGCGGAGGTTTTGGGTTCGAGGAAGGGGGCTAGTTGTGCGGAGTGGCTGGCGCCGCGGGCGTCGGTCCACACTTTTTTAATTCCCTGTTAGCATCACTTCCTTTCCCTTGATTTTCATATATTAATTGTTTGAGGGTGTTGGGGGCAGCGAATACCAATAACCCAAGCAACAACACTCTCATCCTCGACCGTACGCCCCCATGCAGAACTATGGTATCCGCTCTGTTGCTTTGTAGCGTTGAAGAGCTTGAGGAGCTCATTTCCTTCGTCGTTGGGGCCTTCGGGTTTGACGGTGGGTTTTAGTTTGAAGAAGATAAATTCGGCGGTTTGGGACATGTTGCTTTCTTCTTTTTGTCTTTGGTTGTGTTTTTTTGTATGTAGCTTGTGATGTGCGGGGTATGCAGGCTGGTATGCAGATAGCTGGATAAGCTTTGGTTGACAGGTGACAGGTAGGTTAAATTGACTGTATTGAAATTGAGACGGGTGATTTGGTGTTTAATTGAGGGATTGAGAAAGAGGGAAAATATATGTACTCTGCTGAGAAGAAGGGTTCGTATTTGAAGTCGAGTGTTGGCTGATGTCACTGGGATGATGTCAGCGCTCTTTTTGTGATGCTATCACTGAACTATGAGTAGACCTGATAAAAGGAATGGCTTCATCATTAAACATTCATATTCATGCTGATGATCAGAAATCAAAGAGACAATAAGAGAAACTTGCCCTTTATGTACATACAAACACAGGCTCAAAATCATTCATTCCAACTTCAATCAATCCTCATCCTCGTAAGAAAACCCAAAAAAACAGACCATGATAATAATGATAATCCTACATATCCTCCACACCTCTCACTTTCTCCTTTTTCTCACCAATTGCCTTCTTCAAGTTACCCACAAGATGTTGTCTGCGAGTATTCTTGGCCTTCCACCGCTCACTCTCCTGCTTAACAACCAAATCCCCAGCACCAGCGCCAACGCCCTCAACATTACGAAGTCTGCTGACTCTTGCAGATTCGTTAATGCTAGGGCGGAAGTTCACGCTCCTCGACGCAGATTCCGGCGTGTGGTAAGCGCTGAAACTGCCGTCGAGAGATCCCCGGGACCCCGGTGTGGTAGGGAAGGCCCGCATACCCTTCCTGGGTGTCGTGAACGGTGATCCCTCGCGGCTGCGACTGGCAGGAGGTACGGTGGTGTCGATGCCCAATTTCTTGAGCTGGACTTCGAGAACGTCGATGTCGCCGCTCTTGTTTTCGACCATGTTCATCATCGTGGCGATGGTGGAGGTGACAGCTTCAACTGTTGGGCGCTTTGCGGGGGCTGCGCCGTCGGCGCGAGGGGCGTCAGCGATTTTAGCGCGTAAGAGGGATACTCCTCCTTCCAGGTCGGCTAACCTGGCCTGGAGGTCGGTGGATGCTGTTCGGAGGTCTTGCTGGAGGTTGGCTTGTTCTGCGGAAAGGGGTGCGGAGAGGATGGCTGCGGTGTCGACGTGTGCATCGAGGCTCTTTCGAATGCTGGCACATTGACCCCGCAAAGCCACGATGTCTTTGCCTAGCATTTCTCTGCAACTGTCGAGCTTCTCTTCCACGCCCTGTACTCGTTGCTGTTGGAGGGAGCCGGTCAGCGTAACGACTGCATTATCGAGTTCCTCGATCTGAGAAAGAAGGAGCTTCTCGTCCAGGACAGCGGCGGGGTTGTCGCCCTTGAGCGTCTCGATCCAGTCCGAATCATCCTGCGGCGCCTTCTGATACAACAAGAACGAAGCCAACGAGCGAGCGTTGATTCCTAAAGTATCCACCATGGAGTTGATATCCCGGTACAGTCTCTCGATTTGCCCGGGAATACCAGGCTTGGCCGTCTCACCGGAGTAGTCTTGGTGGGGCAGGAATGGGTCAAGTGTAGGCACCGGCTCCAGGGGCTGAGCAAGGTCTGCACGAAGTCGTTCATCCTCATCGTCATCAGAAAGGGCCTGCGCTTCTTCCTCCTGGCGCTGCGCCTCGGCCTGCAAGCGGGCCTGCTCTTCTCGGGCAGCGAGCTCGGCAGCAGTAGGTCTTCGCTGGTTAGACTCTTTGAGCGCTGCCTTCCGAGAAGCAAGAGCATCTCCAGGGCCTTTAGGAGGACCAGAAGGCTTATAGCTGTCAAGCTTAGATGGTCCCTTATGGGCGGCGCGCATCGGACTGGGTGACCGTGGGGATCCAATCTTAGCTTCAGATCTGGGTGGGAAGAAGGGTTGTTTGTTGATCTCTCCAAACAGCCCTTTAGAAGGCTGTTTTTGCTCCTCTGGTCTCGAAACCCTGGTGAACAATCCACCTGCGGGGCTCCTTTCTTCGAAAGAGCTTTCCAACGAGGCCTTCGGGCTCTGGAAATCGGTTTGGCTGATATCGTGAGTAACATCCTCCCCACTGTCAGCGAAATCTGATTCCTCTCCCTCCTCATCGCCTTCTTCTTCTGCTGGCTGTTCCTCTTCCTCTTCTTCCTCGTCTTCGTCTTCTTCCTCGTCATCTTCCTCTCCTTCCCTTTCAAACTCCGCTTCCTCTTCCTCATCTGCGTCAGACTCATCAGGAAGAGGACTTTCCTCTGCGCCCTCCGCGGGGCCCGCTACAGAGGCAGGAGTGGCTGGCTCAGGAGGCAACGGTGCCTCCTCCGCCTCTTTCTTGATTTCTGATGCCTTGGGCTTGGTAGTGAAATCAGGTGGTAGCGGAGCTTCTTCCTTAGGAGCTGGCTTGGGTTTAGCGGCAAAGTCTGGCGGAAGAGGCGCCTCGTCTACCGAGTCCTTAGACACATTTGATGACGCAGACGTATCGCCCGGTCCGTAGGTTGCTCTGCTTGTAGGGTCAGGAGGTAACGGTGGCTCTCCTGCTGGTGTACCAACGGGAGTCTCCTTTGGCGACTCCTTGGGTGTTGCGGTCTTCTCGGACAAAGGAGAGAAGGGGCTGGCAGGTTTGTTCTGAGTAACACCAGGTCCGAACATCGAGAATGGAGATTTGTTGGTTTGTGCTGTTGCTGGTTCGGATGGCTTTGGAGCATTGAAAATGGATGGTGCCGCTGGTGCAGACGGCTGGCCGAATAACGAGGGCGCTGGTTGTGGTGCGGCTGGCTTGGCGGGCTCTGGTTGTTCCGCTGGTAAATCTTCCCTGTCGTCCATTGATTCGACAGGTGGACTAGTCTTGCCAGGCGTTGACACCATTTCGTCAAAGGATGTACCCAAATTGAACATTCCATCACCAGAAGGCTTCTCAGGTTTGGGAGCATCGTTTACAGCAGTACCGTCACCCTTAAACGTAGAGCCAAGTTGGAAGCTGCCTGTACCCAGACCCTTCGATGCGTCCGTGCTGGGTGGCGGGAAAGCCGTTTTTGTATCCGGTTGACCAAAGGCAGACCGGCCGGACAGCTTTGCGAACGGGCTTTCACCCGTCGCCGGCTTGCCAAATGAAGATTCGCCCGCTGCGCTAGCAAAAGGAGACTGGCTCACAGTTTGGCCAAAGGGCGATGCGGCCGCTGGCTTGGCAAAAGAAGATTCTCCCGGTTTGGCGGCAGCAAAACTAGCAAACCCGCCGCCAGCATTAGCATTGGCAAATGAACCAAATCCTCCCCCGGAACTAGGGTTAATCCCAATAGAACCAAGACTCTTGGCAGGAGTCGATGGTTGGCCAAATGAAGACGGCTGGCCAAAGGCAGACGTCGAGCCGAGTCCAGTTTTCCCGAATTGTGATGTCCCTTGTCCTATGGCACTGGGCTGGCCAAAAGGGCTTCCTCCAATCCCCGACGGCGTTCCGAATGAGGGCTTCCCAAAAGCAGCGCCTTGACTACCGCCACCCAGTGGCGAGGGACTTCCAAAACCCTGTGTAGCAGAGGGTTTGCCAAACGGGTTGGCACTAAGAGCAGACGGAGTGCCAAATCCCGACTGTCCAAGTGCAGGCTGAGCTGGAGGTTGAGGCTGAGCTTGTGGCTGCGGTTGTAGTGGTGCCGGTTGCGGTTGCGAGCCGGCAGGGGCCAATCCTTGGTAAGGGATGTTCTGGCGGATAGCGTCTGAGTAGATGAACCACCAAGAGCAAAGAATACCGTCGTTGTTGAGAAGTAGAACGTTCGGCAAGGGTGTAGAGCTCTCGAGAATGTCTTCACCTTGGATGGGCGACACGACCTTTTCCGTGCTGGTGAGGTCAATGCCCAAACCGATCACAGAGGTTTCGTCAACAGAGTCCTTCAACGGAAGGGATGCTCGCTTTGTGTCATCGCTGACTTCGGTTGTCGTGAAAAGGTTGACGGTACCCTGGGCAGATTCATCGTTTGACAACGGCTTATCGGCTCGGGTGACAAGGCCCACGTCGGTAGATGCGGTCGAAGAGACGACAAGGACGTCTTTCAGGTGGGGTTTGTAATCCCTCAGACGCCCAATAAACTGGTAGGCCGGCGTGCGCTTAAAGCCAAAGGGTCCGCATAACTCTGGCATTTTCTGGATCAAGAAAGGTGCCTGCTTTCGTCGTGTGATGATATAGTACGACGACGGTGGGTTCTGTCCCATATCATCTTCGGCTGCATTAGGTGTGTAGATCATTAAGAAGATGTCGTTTTCAAGCCATGCGATAGAAGAGACTGCAACATAGTTAGTCAAACGAAGTTATTCTGGGGTGTTAGCGGCCAAACTCACTGTGGCATTCCCCTTCGAGGTCAGGAGGACGTGGGATAACATCTTTCTGCGCACCATCCGGGGCCATCTGGTATCCAGTTCCGTCCACAAGTCCGGCAACTAGCTGCTTGCCCTTGTTACTCCAGCAAACCGAACTAACCCCAGTCTTCAGAACCGGACCATTAGGTCCCGCAACGAGATTACCCCCTTTCAGGTCCGCCATGAGAAGCTCACCATTCACCGTGACGAGAGCAACAAGCGTCGAGTGGGCGTCGCCGGCCGGGCTAGGATTAGGCACAACAGCTCGGAAGGTGGCGCCGTTCGTCGGGACAGACAAGGCCGGTCGCGCATTCCCTTGCAATAATCCCGCCGTCTCGAAGACTGACAATTGTGGTCCATTTTCCGTCGTCAACACCAAGGCACTGTCACCTGATGCGAAGGCCACATGTGTAGGTCGCCCCGGCAAAGGGATCGTAGTCTGCGGTTGGAACGATTTCGTCTGGATCTTTTCTTCTCCGGTCGGGGCGGAAATGGCCTTTCGCACTGATTCGGAGCTAGCTATGGCGAGCGAGTCCGGGCCGGCACCGACGACAATGCCTTTGGTGGGTGCGACAGCCAAGAGCGAGCAGGAAGGGGCCGGAAGGGCATCGGAAGGCCAGGGAGTCGGGAGGAGCTGAACGTTACTATCGCCGGAGACGCCCTTGAAACCGACATCCTAATTTCAATCCCCTATTAGCCACCATCTAATAGACCCAAAGTACAGAGTAAAAAACGCGAAACGTACATCCGTAAAGACATCTGAGAGCTCCGAGCCCAGCTCTATGTTTCCGCTAGGGTTGAACGCCATTCTGGGTCTGTCAAAGTCGGCTAGAATCGAACGAGGAGGTCGCCTTGATGTCTGCTTAACCCTGGGTCATGGAGGGAGTGAACTTCCTGTAGCGACGAGGAAAGGAGCGACGCTGGAGTGCTTGGAGACTCCGATAGTAGAGCTACCAAATACGCGCAAAAAACTTGACGACCTCCCCTCGACGGGAAGAGTCAAGGGCAACAAGAAAATCAGAGAGCCGGATGCAATAGATTAGAAAGACGTGAATGTAGTGAAAGCGTCGTGCTTGGGCGCTCAAAGGGAGGAAAATAAGCAGAGGAATGAATGAGGTCTACCAAATGATGCTTTTTCGTGCCGACGAGGACAAACAGCGGAAGCTCTTGATGCCTCGTTCATAAGGCATTTATAAGGCATTGATAGTCGTCACTCCAGCTCGACCTCTCGCCGTCCATCGTCAACTCTCAATCACCGACGCAGCTCCAGCTCCAGCTCTCTCCCATCTTCATTAACTGCTCCTTTAGTCCCTTTTGCTCGACTATTCTCAGGGAGCTCTACGACAACCCTTTTTTATTTGACCCCGTTTCCTTCGTCGTACACGCTACACCGTCATCATGGCGGGCTTCGATTTCTCCAACCACAACCGCAATGTGGCTCTCCACGCCAGAGGCGTGCCTCTTCCCAAGGCTACTAGCACCGGTACGACAATTGTCGGCTGTTGCTATGACGGGGGCGTTGTGGTATGTTCATACAATGATGGCGGATTGATGGTCTGGAGCTAACGAACCCGCAGATTGCAGCAGATACCAGAGCTACCAGCGGACCTATTGTTGCCGACAAGGTACGATAGAATCTTACAACCGACTACAGGAACATAAAAGAAGGCGATTAGTCAACTGACCCATACAGAACTGTGAAAAACTCCACTACATCGCGCCCAAGATCTGGTGTGCCGGAGCCGGTACCGCCGCCGACACCGAATTCACAACCTCCCTGATCAGCTCCAACGTCGAACTGCACTCCCTCTCAACGGGTCGGCCCCCGCGAGTCATTACCTGCATGACCATGCTGAAGCAGCACCTCTTCCGATACCAGGGCCACATCGGCGCGTACCTGGTGGTTGCGGGTGTGGACCCCACGGGCGTCGGCCTGTTCACCGTGCACGCCCACGGTTCGACAGATAAGCTCCCCTACGTGACGATGGGGTCGGGTTCGTTGGCGGCCATGTCTGTGTTCGAGTCGATGTGGAAGCCCAACTTGAGCCGGGAGGACGCGGTTAACCTCTCCGCAGAGGCGATCAAGGCTGGTATCTTCAACGACTTGGGTTCGGGTAGTAATGTCGATGTATGCGTGATTCAGCAGGATGGGCCGACGCAGCTGCTACGCAACTACATGAAGCCTAACGAGCGTGGTGAGAAGGAGCGGAATTACCGTTTCCCTAAGGGTACGACGGCTTGGTTGAACCAGAAGGTTATCAGCAAGGAGGACATGAAGAAATATGTTGTTGTTGAGGAGGTTTCTGGGGACAAGGATCTTGCCATGGATGTGGATTCTTAAGTGCAAACTGTCACTATACATGATGATATTTGATGTTTAATCAATGGTTTATTTTATACGAGTTTCGTCTCTAACTTGGTATCCGCCGTAGAGCCTGACCCTAGGGTCGAGACGCAGCTATCTATACATATAAACATACACTACAGAGTATACATACAAACGTATACCCTCTTTCCCCCAGGCATACTACTCATCCTCCTCAACACCTACATTCGAAACCCCATACCTCGGCCCCTCCATCAACTCCTTCGCGACATCCGCATCCTCAAACCTCTTCACCAACTCCCAAATATACAAATACCTCGTTGGCGCCACCCTCAACCCCTCCCTCTGATACCTAATAATCCCCGCATGGTACATAGCACGTATAAGCGAGGGTTTCACGGGCGCATTATGCGTCATTAGGAAATCGTAGAGCCAATGGACGAGATGGAAGGAGCGGCGCGGGGTGAGGTTCTTGGAGCAGGAGAGAACGATGGCAAGGATATGGATCATTTCGAGGGAGTCGTGGGGGTTTGGGAGGTTGTGCTGGGATTCTGATGTTGTATTGGGGATGGTGGTGGGTTGTTCAGGAAAATCCGGATCAGGCCAGGATTTGGCGAGGGAGACTTTGAGGGGTGTATGAGCGCGAAGGAGACGGATGAGTGTCCAGACGCTCTTCGAGTCTCCCGTTTTGGCGAGATGGACGACGTGGTTTGTAAATGCTATGCTGGAGACGTCGACCTGGGATACCGTTTCTTCGAATGAGCTGAAGAATAGTGATTTGCTGGAGTTGTATGTGTGCAGGTCTGTGAAGAGGTCTGCGAATGAGACGCGCGAGCGTTCTAGTCGTTGTAGGGCTTTGCGGGTTGCTTTGGTCATGTTCTTTCGGATCTTCATGTCCACGGCTAGCATCATTAGGCCGCTGAAGGGGATGTCTAGGTCGTGGATATCTTTCATGAGGTTGCTTAGGAAGTCTCCTTCCGCTGCTTGTTTGGTGTTGGATTCGTAATGGTCGAAGAGTTGGATTATAGGTGCATCAACATGTTTCGAATGTTTCCAGGGCGGTCCGAAGTGTTCACTCAGAGTTCGTAGAACCCAAAGGCGAAGAATAATTTGGTCGGTTGGGAGCTCCATAGCTTCGCTGTCGGGCATTGCAGCCTTTTGCGAATTCAAATCTAACCAAACTGGTGAAAACATAAGAGACCTCACATCTTGAAGCTCAAACAGACAGTCTTGCCACTTTTCCAGAAGCAACCTCCTATGACGATCTTTCTCTGAAAAGGTCAGGTCTTCGGTTATGCGGATCATATACTCCGACACGAGGTTCGGGTTGAAATGGCTCAAGAGCTCAGAGACAAAGGTTCCATCAACTTCAGAACCCGTCTTCACTTGCAGATCCAACCATCGCATGATGAACTTTGGTACCCACGAGCAACCCAAATTTGAATCTTGAGTTGCCAGGATAATTTCCGAAGCCAAGGTCATTCCTGCAGCCGAGTGCCGCTGCTCCAGTATCCCCAGCCAGGCATCCACAGTCTCCGCATCCAAATCGCCATGCGTGAGTACATCGCAGCGACCAATTGCACCCCACATTTGCCGATACCAGTCGATCATATACTTCGGATTAGGCTTGACACTGCGGATCCTCGGGATAGCCTTGACAATAGCGCAAACCTCGTCAGGCGGGATCAATCCAAGTTCCAGCGCGCGAGCAATCGCACCAAGACAGCCACTCCTCTGGCTTAGCCGGGTCTCATGACGGGCAAGATGCTCGACAACAGCCGTGTAGTTCCCGGAACCTCTAATATTCAATGTTAAATCGTCCAGGAAACGAAATAACGATCCGTCAACGGCTTTTGTGCGGACCGACTTGGCGAGCAGGTAGCTGAATATCTTGCGACTGTAAGCCGGCTCATGCTGCAGATTGATATCCAACTCGTTGAGGATATCCTTAATAGCCGTCGTCGACCAATTGCTCTCCAGGTATTCCTCCAGATATTTCTCACGGGCAGCGCTATCGCTTATCCCAACTTCAACCGGCCACCCTCCCAATCCACTCAGACCAGTATTCTTCTCATAAAACGGAAAAGCATCACCCGGTGGAACCAAAGGCTTCATGCCTATCAAAAAACTAGTCAGCCCCGCGCAACAAAAACCAACCTTCAATTCCAACAAACTCACCCTGATATTCCACATCCACCCGCGCCTGAACCTCCCCCCTCCTTCCCCTCGTATCTGTCCACTTCATATGCTCCCTCCCATTCCTCCCAAACAAGCACGAAATATCCCCCAACGGCCCAGACCCCGCAATACTCGCCAACGCCGTATTCCTTCTCTTCGCCAACCGCCTCCTCGCCTCCAGCGGACCAGGAGCCCGACTCTCATACCGCCGCTGTTGCTTTCGCCCAGTATTACCACCATTCGTGAACCGGCGGAACGTTGTCGCGAGGAAATCGTCGCTGATCCAGACGTGGTCGGTGATTAACGGTGCTGTCGCGGAGTAAGAGGCATGCCTATAGGCATGCCTACCGAAGGACATGTGGGCGGGGAACCGGGTGCATTGGATTGAATTGGGCCTGTTGTTTTTCGTGGCGCTGGAATTGAATTGGCCCGGTCTGCTTTCCGTCGGCTTCGTGGTGGTTTAGGCCCGTCAGGTGTCGTCGATTAACGAGCGATGGTTCGTTGGAGCTCGGACCAGGTGGTTAGTCAGCATATCGGAGGGTTAGTGCCAAGACTTGCTGGATGGTCTACGATACGGGTATTTTGAACAAAGGGAGAAGCAGATTGAATGCTATTTTTGATGGCTTTGATGTGATGTAATAGCTGCAGTTGATTCTCCCGTGTATATGAGATCGATATAAAACAAAATGCAAAGCCTGCACGCCTGTCCATGCATGAACTCTCTCCAACCAATGGTATCTTATGCTAATGCAAGCAGGAACAAGAAAAGAAAGACTCGAGGAAAGAAAAGAAATGGAGCAAGATTGGAAGGATGGGATGACGCTTTTGGGAAGGTAACAGGTCTCCAAGAGTTGAGGCAGAAGAGGAAAAGGGCAGAGATTAAGACCTTTGTTCCCCAGGAAGCGGCTTCCTCCCGGTCACCACATGATACTCCGTGTAGCTATGGATGTCACGGTTCTGAATACACCTCCTCACCTCGACGAGGAAGACCTCGATCTCAGGTTTCGACCAACCCAGGATCATCAGGGGCTTGTACGACCAACCCGACAACGCCTCGAGCCAATTGGTCTCGCTCCACGAGCCGATATTCTTTAGATGCGGATCCGACGGCCATGAATTTGTGGGCAACATGGACTTGTGAGTCTGTACATCAACAAACCCCAAATCATTCATGAACCGGGCCATACGGGGAGCAACCCGGAACTGTCTGGGCGGATCCGACACCTGGCCCGATCGCACATTGAGATCGAACCAGTCGTGCAGGGCATAATCGCAGAAACCATCTGGGTTTTCTGGCGGCATTGTGCTGTCGTCGCAGCGAGGCATGGGGTCGAGCTCGTGGCATTCGATGTAGCCGCCGGGTTTGAGGTGACGCATGGCCTTGCGGAGCAGGGCTTTGTACGAAGGCAGAGATCCCGTTAAGTGGGAGATATGGATGAAGTCGAAATGGTCATGTTCCCATAACCAGTCGTCTTCGGTGGCATCGTCGACGAGGAAATGGACGTTTTCGGGTACTTCTGTCGGCTGGACGGGTGAGAGGTCTGTGCCTACGATTTCGGCTTGTGGGAAGATGGATGCTAAGGGGATTCGTAAGAAAGGCTGTTCTCTCAAGAACATCAAAAGAAGGAAGAGGAGGAAGCATACCCATTTCCATTGGCCAGATACCGGAGCCCGTGCCAATGTCGAGAATCCGTTGGGGGTTCTTCACGGGGGCAAAGAACAAGCGACCCTCGTTGATGAGCTTGAACATATGGTGCTGCATGTCTAGACGATCGAGTTCCTGCTCGTCGTTGGGATAGAGGTAGGCTATGCGGTTGGTGGTTAGTTCTGCCATCTGCTATTAGTTCTTCAGCTTCGTCAAGAGAACGTACCACCCTCATGGTATCTATGGTACCGCCGTCCATGCTCGATAGGATAGTCCGTCACGCTGGCCGTCAACGACTGCGTGTCACTGTCATCAGGGCTGTGAGTTGGTGTCTGTCTGGGAGACTGGAAACAAGTGCCACGACCGTGTGAAAGATGAAGAGAAGAAGAAGAGAAAACTTACAAGTCTTGACTCGACTGTTGAGACATTTTTTCCGTTCCGTCAGCACTCCTATAGGTCAAGGCACGACAACAACGACCACATAAAATTCAAAAAATCAAAAAAGCGTAGAAAATGGGCGAATATCAAACAAATAAAGGACGTGTTCTTCGATGACAGGCTTACCTCAGGGCTTGCACTCATTCTATTACGGATGGGCCGAGTGAGCATTGGGATTGTCGGTCCAAAACCCTCTTGGGTGGTGTTGTGGGGGGGAGGAGTCCGTAGTAGGAGGAGGTGAAGTTTCTATGTGTGTACGGAATAGTATTCCTCTGTTCAGTAATAAATGTAAAGGGAAAAAAAAAAAATTAAACAAAAAATAATGGAATATATAGCTGTAAATAATAGGTAAGAGTCCATCCGACTGGAAACAGTAAAAAGAGTCGGATCCGTTCCCACGGGTCTGGAGAAATATTAAGGTCTTTGGTAAGTTACTATAGTGTGAATCACATATACGCTCCAGGATGTTTTAACTGGCAGCACTAAGCAACCTAATGGAGGGTATATGGCAGGGAAAATAGAAAATAAGAGAATCCGTACAAGATGCTCCTTCCCGGCAAATTGGATTAAGTTTGTTGGCAGCCGAAGACGATCCAGTGGTTCCAAAAGGTGAAAATTACCCTCTTACCCTCTTACCCTCTTACCCTCTTTTTACACCCGGTCGTAATTCACTTTTTTTTTTTTTT